ACTAGAAAGTTACGTTTCTCTCATATGTACTATAATTTGCTGTACAAACTAGACAATTTTTCTGTTTTGTGATGCGATTTCTTTCTCAACATTTAGATAAACGTTAGTAAAATCCACATACAAATATCATTGATCAAATCAATACTCTAGTTCATAATATTTCTCTTAAATAAACGTCATCATCGTATAGTTAGTTTATTCCCAATAATTAATTATGTTCTTTAAGAACTTTAGATTAAAAACAACGCTCTGATTACAGAACATCATCACTTTGATTTTCTGTCTTATTATGTGATGCGTGCGCAAGCGTCCGTGCGTAACAACCTGGTGCGTATGATTCCAGTGCGGAACATTCCTGGCGCTGAAGATAACCGTGCACATGATTCAACGCGCATGTTTCCTCGTGCTCATCAATCCGTGCGCAACATTGTTCGTGCGTATCGTTCCGGAATGCATTATACTAAATTTACGATAATTATATTTAAAATAAAGGATCAAACCAACAGATATACATTAAACTCCGTGGTGCCCCAACGAGAAAATAGTGGCTTTGATAACAACGAAATCATACTCGTTTCAAAGCAAGATGCACGTAATCCAAACTTGTAGTGACATTTTTTCGAGTTTTATATACATATTCGGATTCGTCTCGTCGAGTTGATCACGAATATCGCCTTCCCAGCCTTANACCGTTTTCTTCCTGGAGAAAAAGCTAAAAATACTGAGAGTACCTCAAAACCCCCAAAATCGATGCTACTGGAAAACTTTTCCGTCTTTTACTTACGATAACTTTTCTTTTTATATTTTCCTGATTCTGCATTCAAAATTGAACAGAAAATTAGTCTTATAAAAATTTTAGAAACAAACGTCTGATTGAGAAAACTGAGAATTGCGGGCAGAATTCCAACTTTCTCGCCTCTGATTTAGAAAAAGAATTTTTCAAAAAAGCGATCCGTTGTTTTGACGCTTAGCTTCTAACGAAGTTAACAAGGTGCAAATGTTGGCTCTGCTACTTCTACGAAAAGCTCTGTTAGGTTTGCAAAATTGTACAGCGTTTTTGAGATATATACGTTGGGACCTCACTGGTGAATAGACGTTTGATTCTAAAATTTTTATAAGAGTAATTTTCTGTTCAATTCTGAATGCAGAATTAGGAAAATATAAAAAGAAAAGTTATCGTAAGTAAAAGACGGAAAAGTTTCAGTTTTTCAGTAGCATGGATTTTGGGGGTTTTGAGGTACTCTCAGTATTTTTAGCTTTTTCTCCAGGAAGAAAACGGTTTTTAAGGCTGGGAAGGCGATATTCGTGATCAACTCGACGAGACGAATCCGAATATGTATATAAAACTCGAAAAAATGTCACTACAAGTTTGGATTACGTGCACCTTACATATTCTTATCAATATTCTTCTAGAAGTTCAACTCTATTAGTCGTTGAGTTGATTACTTTTTGAGAATTTGCGATCGACATTCACTTAATCAGATTAAATAACAATTTCAATAAAAAAGATAAACACCCGTTCTCTTTCTTTCTTTACGAAAGATTTTCTCTCCGACGAGGTAAATTGACTCCATTAGGAAATAGTCCAGAATTCCAACTTTCTCGCCTCTGATTTAGAAACAGAATTTTTCAAAGAGCCCTGTGTACAGTATGTGTTTTTCTCACTAAAACACTTGTGCATTAGGTGCCATCATAAAGTAGGCAATGAATAAATACGTTCAGTTGTTAATGCAAATCAAGAAGCATCTGCTGCTAAAATGATTGGTGATAGTGATTGTCATTTGCCAGTCGTTACACTCGGCGGCCATGTCAGAGTTCCAGTGCCATTAATGGATAGATCTGTTGCTGATCCACCAAATATTTTAGGTTTGGTTATCAAAGAAATCAGTGGAATGTATAAAATTCGAAAATTTGAAATTGAATAAAATGATGGTTGATTCCGATTTGCTGATGGATGAGTATTGGATAAAGTCGATTTTTGAAGTGGATTAACGAATGAACGTTGACTGCGAAAGGAAGAATTTGGATGATGATATACGTTGTCCTGAACTGTTGGTTCTCGTTGTATATCAAATGTAAAATATGGTTGTTCTCGTTTAAAATCAGCATTTAATGGTTTTTCTAAAGTTTTCTGCAAATCTTCTTTTTTAGCTACTTGTAAGAAATTTATCAATGATTCGAATGGTGCCTAACGAAATAGTTCTTTCCGAAATTCTGATTTCACTCCAGTTAGCAAATGCTGTATGATTGTTGCAGACACTTTTACATCTACTTCGCGACATAATGTTACGATGTCATCATAATAATTTGTCACTGATTCATTATCTTGCTGTTTACGTTGTAATAATTTATCAAATTTGGTGAGTTTATTTAATAACGATGAATATCTGCTAACGAATGCTATTTCAAATTCAAATAAATCTGCAAATGGGGAATCGGAATTGTCATAGCACACGTATTATTTCTAATTTCTGTCGATCATTTAAACTCTCATCTGTTTTGAAGATGTTTTTAATTGATTTAAGAAATTTTTCAGCATTGTCTGATGCTAGACCCGAAAAATTATCCAACTCATTATATCAATTCTTCCGTGCCATACTTAAAAGAGAATTTGTGTCTGAGGTCATTTTGATTTCTTTTAGCGGTACTGATGTTGGAAATGATGTGAACCAGTTGATAGCTGGAGATGGACTAGACGTTGGAGAATTATTTATGGACGGAGATGGAATTGGTGATGATGCGTCGTTGGTGATACATCTGTGATGTATCGTTTTTGTTTTCGTGAATTTGTGATAGAGTTTCCGGTATTTAACTGTAAATTATGCTCTTTAACGTTTCTTCTGGTTCCAGTCGCCATCTTTGTTAATAAATGATCGAGTTATCTTAAAGATAGCTCCTTATTTTATTAGTTTAAAAGAATATTTTTAGTTACAGTTATTTCAAAGGATAGCTTCGATTATTATTAATCTAAATGAAGATTTTAACGCGACTTATCTTGAAAAATAACTCTGTTTATTATTAGTTTACTACAAGATTTTGTCGTTCGAATAAAAAAGATGAATCGGTCTTTTTCTTCTTACAATGTAAAACTGAATGAACACGGGTAGTTGATGCATGAATTTTTTACAAATAAGGAAATTCAAAATACCTGCACAATTGCTTGTATTTTAACTTCAATACGAGGGGTCAATCTTCAGCTGATGTTACTTGAGTTTTTCTTTCGAAAAGCTCCGTTTCGGCTTGTAATTAATTAAATGTTGAAGTTTGATTGAATAATTTAATAATAATTTAATGGTTTGACTTTTACTCGACTTTTTCTTTTCAGAAAAGCGACTATGTGATAAGAACTATGTGTGTATGTGCTTTATATATGCGTGATTGTACATAGAAAAAACGTTCTAGAATCTTACTCTTTGTTCTATCTATTCTATGTCTGTTTATATGTGAACAAAGAATTGTGTGTCACTGTTATTGCGGAATTATCTATATAGATATATGGTGAATGAGTGATGAGGACGAAAAGAGGACTAACTACTTGGATAGTCAACGACAAAAGTAAAACAAAAGAAATAATAACAAACGAAAGTAATGAAATAGACAGTTGACGGCTCTATAGCCGTTAACAAACACAACAAATGAAAATAAATGATAATGTAAATACGAAAATTTGTAATGGAATGATTGTAATGGTGATGATGCATTAGGGAATGAACAAGAGGACGAAAATGATCCGAAAATAAAATATTCTATGTCTACAGATACTTGTTCAGACACAGTAAATGGGCTTGTCCACATAAAAGTCAACTTTTACTTAAGTCCTTAACGTTTTGTGAAAGTCATAATTCTTCAGCCGAGAAATGTGTAGAGTTGGGAAACGTCTCATTTTGTGGCTTCAGTGTTCACTATTTAACTTTTATTTTCACTGTAGGTTTGTCAGTTTGAACCTCTTCAGGGAAAATAATCAAGGGACGAAATTGACTGTTCTGTTTAATATTGGTTCAAATTTTCGAATGGCAATTAGTTCACGTATTAAAAGTTTATAATCTGATGAATCGTTATCTATAATTTGCCTTCATTCCAGTTAAATTGTTTTATTTCAATTTCATATTTTCTTAAAGCCGATTTTTATCGTTTTCGGTGTTGAGCCTCTGGTTTCTCCTTTAATATTTTCTTCTTTTGGAAAGTAATTTTGTACTTCTTTCTATCTGATCGACGTAGCCCTGAAGAACTGCCTATTGTCGATGCAGATACTTTCTGTTGTTTCACTTGTGGTTGTCCACGTTCTTTTTAAATCGTGGTTTCGCTTAATAGTTTTGCCAACGTACGACGCAGGACAATCTCGACAACCAATTTTGCAAACTACTATCCGTTCCAATGGTCAAACCGCTGGTTGCTTTTTGAATAACTTTTGATAGGAACCAGACAGAGACGTGCGGTTTTCACCATTGGAAAGAAGAGACTTGAGAGCATCTTTTCGTAAGCAAAACTGGGTTTCAAAAAAGATTTCAGGTACTTGGTTTTTCAGGAGATCTTTGGAAAACTAGCTCAGAACTCCCAAAATTTTTATAGAAATCTGACCCTTTTTTAACATGGTTTTGTAGCCCGAAGTGCCTTCTTCAAAATGGGAGTCAAGCGAGATCATGAAATTGCATGGTTTGGCCAGGAGAGCGGATTTCCTGCAGGTGTCTATGAGAATGCTTTTTTCGCTCAAAATTTCGTGAAAAAAATTCTAGATAGGTAATAAATTATGCTGTTCACGATGGCAAAGTTTGTTTTTCTATAGCAGATTTCCTGAATCCACTAAACGTGCTTTAGGTTAATTCATTTTCCTTCTTTACTAAAAAATATCAACTTTTTCCCCATTTTCTGCTTTATTCTTCTTCTCTTCAAGTGAAAGAGCATCTTTAGTCACTATCTGAACTGTACATATCAACGTGAGTCTCTTCACCGCCATCGTCGTCGATCAAGTCATTCTCAAGTTCTTCTGCAATTCTGTCTGCTTCCTTGAATATGCCTTCTTGTTTCTTCACATGTTCGAAATACGGTGCGACGTGTTCGGGTCCGATCGACGATAGAAATTCATTAGCGAGTTGTTGAACGTCGTTCAGGCTGAACCGAACATTCCGAGAACGAACGAAAGTTTTAAGGCCGAACCAAACAAGTTCAATGGGATTTAGTACACAATGTTTGACGGGAATTCGAACGATCTCCATTCCGAATTTCTTCGCCGCTTTATCGGCCATGTACTCTTTCGGAGGTAGATTCTTCCACGCAGTTTGCAGAAGTTCCGTCTTGGTCAACGATGGTGAAAATTTGATCTTTCTGGCGACGAGCCAGTCGACTACCATCTGCTTTCTCCATGTCCGTTTAGGCGCCTCACTTTCAGGTTTAAATTACATTTAAGAATTTTTGTCCACCAAGAACAGATTAATTTTCAATAGTAGTACTCAAACTGTGTTCTTCAAGGTTAATATCAACTATTTTTAATATTTTTGAATCACATTTCTCACATTGATGATGGCCTTAGAGACGATTAATTTTTCCCCTCTACAACCAATTTTATACATTCCACTGATTTCTTTGATAATCAAACCTAAAATACTGCTGCCTTGTTGTTGCCTCCTAGTATGTTGTCTCCTTTGAGCAAACAACAGTATATTGGCGTTACATTGTAAGAACAAGGCTCCATCAGATACAGTGTAATAAACTAACAATTCACGTCTCGTACAAAAGAAAACCTCTCTGGTATGACCACTTGCAACAGCGATACTTTTTTGATGTGACTAGAAAGAAAAAGTATAGTTTTTGATGGTTCGTATTATGTGAGTACATAGAGAAAGGAAAACGTGTGTGTGCACACTTGGCGACATCAACGTAGTTCCGTGTACGTTACTGTTATAAGTAGAATACTTTCTTTTTTAAAGGAAGCATTTTTTCAAATGAATAGTGCATCAGAATTAAATTTTCAGGCAGTTGGATAGACTACACACCATTCCTGAAAAAAGTAGTGACGCAGGATAAATGAATGTTTATGATAAATTTTTCAGATACCACTTATAGCCTACATCATAGTTTTGACTGTAAAAATGCAACAAACAATTAAAGAATCCATCGATAACAATGGAACCATTTGCTTGATTAGCAGTGTTCAATTTGCAGAATATACAGGAGCTATAGTTGTAAGATGAAATGTGAATAAACGAATATATAATCGGTACACAACGCGGTACGGATGAGGTACATGGTGGTTGAATAGCAATACTGCGCAACTTTGATATTGTATAAACTCGTTGCTCTTGTTTGGATCTAGCACACCGATTGCAATTAGATTTCGTTCAATTGTATAAATGTACTTTGATATTAGACTCTGATTTATTGCTGATGACTGTTTCACTATAAAATTGTGGACGGCAAAAAATATTATTGCACAATGTCGAGAAATGTGGCATTCAAAAGAATGGAAGAATAAAAATTTACACACGACTTATTTTGTCATTTTGCTTCGTAAAAACATAGTCAAATACCCCTAAGATCAGGCGTGTTTTTATGTTGCTCAAATCATGCTTACCTTGGAATACTTTCATCATTTGAGTAGATCAGCAATGATGATTGTCTTTTCAGTACATTTTTTTCGGTCTATTTTATAAATATCATCTATAGAAATGTAACTTAAAGTCGGAAGAGAGGGAACACACCTTCCGAATAGTTGGAAGTTTTTTGTTTTTTTAGTGGATGATGATTAGAAAATCAATCGTTTCACAATAATTCTATGGACAAAAAAGATACAAAGAGAGCTGACAGACATCACTTTCTGTGTGTATTCCTTCTCTTCGTTAGTTTTCTTTCGGCTGCCCAGGAAGAAATTTTGGACCTCCGCAGGTCCTTCTAATCTATTAAGAAGTTCTCATAAGTTAGATTCATGCGACACAATAAGGCATTCGAATGCATTAAAGTAGACAATTTCGCGCCGCTAATACG